ATAATCATCCACAGTTGTTCTTTTCAGTCAGTTTTCATTTAACACTGCACCGTTTTAACCTTCGGTGATTAAAGTGCTGATGTAATAAATGCAAGAGACGGTTTCTTTGTTGTGCAGAAATAACTAAATCCTTTCTTCTTAACATTCAATTAATAGGGCATTTATTTCAAATCACTTTTAATAATGTATAAATTTGAAACTTTTAATTCACTATTTCGGATAATGGACTTAGTGTAAGTGTGGAAGAGCGTGTCGCTCGTCTAAAGAACAAACTGCTTTTTAGATGCAATCGGCGATAAGGTGGAATGGACCATTCAGTGCGTACACCTCTCTCAAGTGGTCGCGTGCTCCTGCCGTGGCATTCCGCCATCAGAATATAGCTCCTTGTCAAGTGCTGTAAAATAATGATTGACTATCGTACCTATCTTGATGATCGATCGGCCGCGTGGCCAAGGGAACTCTCTCTGTCATCCAAAACAAAATATTTAAATTCAAATCGGTAAACGGTTATGACTTTTCCCCGTACAGACTCAAGATATCAAATAGAATCGCCATAATTATGCGAATTCTGCCTCGTTTACGGAGCTTATTATGGTTAATTATCTATCAATTTAAGGTATTTTATCGCGGCGAGGAAATGTTGTTCGAAATGGAAGGTGAGCGAGAGGCAGTGATTAAACAAAAATCAATGTGGTGTTTGATCAGCATAAAATTTAGTTTGTTTTATCTTTGCATTATGATAAATGCTCCCGAAGGCCCAACCGGAAATGACACACGAAATAGGATACGGCTCACGCCTAAATTGTCTAACTCGGAGCAAAACGGACACTCAGTGCAATACCGGTTGATATTAAATAGAGGAATCGGACACGCTTGGAAAACAGTCATAAATATGTGTTAACTACTGTAAAGAATTTCAAAGTCAATTGTCATCACATAGAGATAACGACTTTAATTAAACGCCATTAGTCGCTGAAAGTGAGCGCCGGGATCTCTGATGTAGCGAATCAACCCAGGCCATTAATTGTAAATTAAAGATAACTAGATAAAAAAGACAAGGAATATCACAGGCAAGTTACATCGCTAGAAATCCCTTAAGCCACATTCTAAGTTTATCTTCAGAAGTAAATGTCTTTATCATTCTGTCAGTTCTCGTGGCCGGCGATATTGGCGGAGGGATAATTGGAGGTGCGTAAGCAGGCAGTACGAGTTCCATTTAACGAACTATGGATGTGCATTTCTCTGCTCTATGTAGAGTCCTTATCAGATGCATAATGTACAAACAATGTCTGGTTAATCAGCATATCAAATAATAACAAATATCAATAATCAAGAAAATGCAAATTTATGTCCGATTACAAATACGTTTAAAAATGCATATTAATAGATTAAAGAATGATAATAAAAGTAATATTTGTGACGGTTGATTTGAATAACTTACCAGATGCAAACTGCAGCTCGTTAATAACATGGTCTGATGGACTTTACGAAATTTTGAAAAAATATAAAGATGCACAGCATTATTTAATCAAGATATGTTTTGGTTTACAAGATGCAATTTAAAGGACATTTTTAACGGAAAATTCATCCCAATTATATGCCCGTAACACCGAATTTAACTCTCTTTTCTCTTCGCTATGATAAAGATAGTAATAGTTTTTATGCAGTTTTATTTTAATTTTATATCCATCAGTTTAATATTATGAAACTAAAACAAACATAGTGCCGTAGTTATAGTATGTTAATTTTTACTGTAAATTCCTCTTCTTTGAACAATGAGACAATCAAAATTTCATTTTTACATTAGACCAAATGATAAAGTGAATCGATGATAAAATAAATAACATAAATATATAAGTAAAAAAAATATGGTTCCAGATGTATATTTTTATCCTTTATAACTTAACTTAAAAATAGAAAATTTGTCTTCTATACAAAAATTTCAGTCGCGAAGTAAGGAGTTGATCCTTACGTCGCGGGTTCGAATCCCACTGTGGGATGTGGAGACCGGTCCTTCAGATGAGACTGTATAAGCAGAGGTCCCGTGTCGCAGTAGATGCTGGCATGATTGAGATCCCTCCCTGCTCAATGGCCCTGAGTGAGTGCCGAGTATAGGACAAAATTTGCAGCTGTACACCGGCAAGTGGTGGCGTCTCCATATGAGTGAAAAATTCTCGAGAGGGACGTTGAATAACATACAGATCAATCAATCATACAAATTTGAATTTTTAAAACTTCTAAATCATTGTAGAGGACTAATTGACAAAGATTAAAGATAATTGATAATTGTTTTAAATAGAAATAAACTGGATGTTGTGTTTTAAATAGAAATAAACTGGATGTTTGCTGTTGAATATTAATGATAAATACGAGGGCTGTTCAATAAATAATGTCCTGAGCTCTTTGACATACAATATAGAAATCATATGATATTAAGAGTGACTTCCTCTCATGATTGAATCTTTAATGAATTAATTACAGTTTATTTGACCACTTTTCATCACATGGTTTCATTGCGAGAAGCTGGAAAGGGCTATTCGAGACACTGCATTAAAAAAGGATGGTAAAGAATCAGTAAACAAGAGCGAAATTAAACGCTTCATGAAAGCTGTCGTAAAACTCGTTAAGAATCCCAAAGAAATATTCCCTAAAATATGTGAAATTTACAGCAACTAATGTCTGTTTTATAGACACATAAGCAGGTGGATTTCAAAGAACAAAAATGATATATGGGTACCGTCCTAAGCGACAAATACTTACAACAACAAATGTAATATTTGCGAAATTCAACAATCACTAATGATGTTTGAACATATTAAAATTGATGGGCATTATTTTGGGGTTTAGTTGACAATGTTTTAAAGAAACATTTGACAGTAAAAAAAAGTTTAGTATACGTACTCAATGGTCACTCTATTGTTTTGAAAAATGAGTGAAAACAACAGCGTGTAAGAATATCCAAACAATTATTTTAAAAAATCAAAAATTGAAGTAATCCACGCTTGTCTAAACTTCAAACAGAAAGTGAAACTCGATTTCATTGCTTTAAACCCAGATAACAAATTAACAGTAATATGCACTTGACAAGAACAGCCAAGGTCTGAAAAAAAGCAAACAATTTCAAAAGCACAAAAATAGTTTTATATGTCATTTTCTTAAATATTAGTAGTCTTGTTATACAAATTCTTATTCAGAGAGGCAGTTCAATTTCTGGAGAAGTCTAGGAAGCAAATTTTTGCAAACACAATTGAAAGGTTTATGAGAGGATGGAACCAGAATCAGGAATCCACTACATTAAATTTCGTCATGACAGCGTCCAAACCCACAGGCAATGAAGAATAAAGTAGTTTTGGGGATAAACAGAAACTTAAGTTAATGTTTTGTAAAACCAACAATATTCGCCAGATCTTTCACCCTTTCACTTTTTTCATTTTCCAAACTTGAGTAAAACACCTTTCAGAAAGAAAGAAACAAGTCAAGGAAATCATAGGATCTGCCATATTCCAGTATACGAAGAGCAATACTCAAAAATGTATCAGAAATTGGATAAAAATGTTACGGACATAACGTTTCAATTGAAAGAGAATATTTAAGTAAAATCATTAAGGCTAAATCCTTGAAAAGCGTTTTTTGTTCCTTTCCGAGCACCGAGGACATTATTTATTGAATAGCCCTCGTAGATAATGAAAAGGGTTTAATTTTTTTTTCCTTTCTGTGAAGTATGAGTGGGACAGAAAGGGAAATTTAAACCAAATGTTGTTTTGGAATGTTAAAAGTTTAAAATGCATTCATTGTTAAGCTAAAAAACCATTATGATTCTTAAATTAATGCATTATAATAATGTGTATATGTATTTAACAATTGCATATAAAATTCTTTCACTTTTTAATGATTTCTCTTTAAGGACAAATGATACAAACAATTGTGTTGATACTCATTTTATGATTTATTTTGGTTGTTAATGATGTACGTATAAATATATAACATAGATATTAAAACTTTCTATGATGTTCAGAACGATACCTTTCTGTAATCACCCATATAAATCTATAATTCAGTTAATTTTTTTTTCTATAAGGATATATTCGTAAAGCTTTAAATAAAAAAGTTTAAAACTTTTGCTGTTAAGTTTATTTACTTTTAAAACTCATTTAATTAAAGTCATGATTGGTTATTTTCATAATTTTTAAGAAAAAGCTTATTTGTTTCGTCTGTCCGTATTCAAGAAATACGTTTAATAATATAATCAGAAATACCACAAAATGAAATGATCCTTATTTTCTCGTGACCTAAAAGCACTGGCAGTCTCCAAACTGTTTTGTCTCTATGTATAATAGTTTGTTAGTAAATTTCAATTGTGTTTTATTTTTTTCCCCTCCAAAATGTTGACACTTATCCGAGGTCGACTTTTCCTTTTTTCTACTCGGTAAATTCAACTAAATCTGCTTCCCTGACATGATACTATCCCCAAACAATAGTGGGGAGCTGCTATTTCTGTTGAACTGACATAATATTACTATGAAACAATGCCAGAGAGCTCAGTTTTCTTGTTGTGTCCCAAACTACACGGAAATAAACCCGGTGTTTTTTACATTGTTGTTGCATATTATACTGCGTGAGTGAATTTTTAGGATCATGTAATGTGAAAAGGACACTTTCGTTTTGGGCATTGTTTGACAGATGCGTGGTAACATTCGATAAGTTTCAGAGGGACCGGATACCTGGGAGGGAAGGTATTAGTTAACCAGGTAACCGGCATTCCGGGACGCTATCATCTCTCTCTGGTGCACGTGATTTAGAGAGAACTAAAACTTTTTCTCATAAATAAATAAAAGAATAATAACATTGAGGATGGAAACGAAATTACTCCTTACTACAAAATATACATTCTGTACAACATAGCACCTCCATATACTGAACATGCTGAAATTGAAAATGAATTGAAAATTTGCTATAATTTTTCATAAATTACTTTAATTCAAATATATAAGAATAAAACACAAAATGTGTAATAAGGAAATGTGTTTACCTTACAACAGTCAATATATAAGAATTTGTGACAAAAATCAACAACTATAGAAAACAATACGTCTTGCCCATATTTGTCTGTGTGTTAGTCCGTGTGCACATTGATTTCTTCGTCCTCACTGTCAGAACAAACCGAAACGTCAATATCTTCATGTTTTTCACATTCTGCGTCCTTTTCTGGGTCAGAGGGGCCCATTTCAGACCCCATCTCGTTTTCATTTGAGACTTCGTCTGAAGCGTCATCTTGACGCAGATGCACCTTCCGGTGGCGCTCTAAATTGCTTTTATGGCTAGTTGCGTAATCACAGACAGTGCATACAAAGTCTTTCTGTCCATTGTGTACGGACAAGTGACGCTTCAGCAGAGCTTTTCTACAGAATCTTCGACCGCAATAAAAACATGTATATCCATGATAGTGGAAAATCATAGAGTGTTCTCGTAAAGAAGCTTTGGTATTGAATAAAATTCCACAACATTCTAACAACTTAGAACACGTCTGATGCATTGTAAGCATGTGGCGTTTAAGGTTATTTCTGCGGTCAGTTGTATACCTACACTGAGGACATGGGAAAAGTTTCCTACCCAAGTTGTATTGCGATCCATAGGAATCGGAAAATGAGGATAAAGTGGGACTTTTGACCTCTTTATTGTTTGTCGGAGAAACCAAGGTCAAATGAGATTTCCGAATTTCCTCTTCTCTCTGTGATTCACCGGATGCAGACCCATTCAATCTTGGAGGCTGCACGGTTGATGTGCCATCAAATATTTTCGGAAAGGTAGCTTCTTGCAATCTTTTGATATGTTCTTGTAGGTATAAATTGTACGCTGCAAGATGACTTGGCGTAGGTGCTCCTGTGGGATTGGCAACATCGCCCAGTTTCCATGGAGACGGAGGGAACAAGCCGGGCCATGATGGATTCAGTGCTCCATACCTTGAGAAGTCGAAGGCGGGTCTCTGACCTCCATAAAGTGGTATAGGTCTGAAATAGGGAAAAAGACATGCGAGAAATGTTGTCAATTGCTTGAAATCCTATATTTTACCACTCAGCATCATAAAGTGTTAGTGATGACATCTTTGCATTAAAATGAATGAAAAAGAAACAGCTGCCGGAGATATAGTTTTCTTCTTTGCTATAAAAATTTCACACACCCATGAGAATTTGATCCGCGCCGATGTCGCTTGAGTGAGACACGATATGTAATGAATGCTGTAGTTAAGAATTGTTCATTGGACCTCTAGACACACGGTTCTCTGGAGTTCCCTGCCACCCTCCCAAACCTTACAAAGGCCTTCCCATAGTTCATTACAGAAACAACGAAACACTGAATAATCACAATTTTAATAATTTGTCGGTCGACAAAAGTCTTTGATGTATTTTTTCTACATTCATTAAAGATCACTTTTTTAAACAGCAATAACAAAATCACATTGATGAAACATAAATTATTCTAGTTTAATTGTGTTTGTATATTTTCAAATTGGTATGAAATTTAGCAATTGATTGAGGATAAGATATTCTCTTTTCTTTTCTGTAGTACCGGTACATTACTAGTTCTTTTCAGCGATATTTTTTTCGTAATTCAAATGAAGGAATATCAAATTTTCAATTCACCACTATTTTACGTATATATACCTTTAAACTGTTTTTAAAGTAAATTTAAAATTCAGTTTAATAGGGTGCCAAAACATGCTCACTTGCAATTAGACTTTTTGTGACCTTTCAAAGAAGAGATTGGTCTTTGTTGAAATTTCTTACTGAACTTTTTTAGAGTGAAATATATTTTATGATTAGTTTCTTTATCTGAAAGCTGCATAAATTGATGTTCATATTGTCGGTTTTGAATAATAATAAAAAAAAAACATTACAAGAAAGTCATAAACACTGTATGTTGTGGAAAGTGACTGCATCCTTTCAACTGGTATAATTTCACTTCGCATTAACAATCGTTTAAACCAAATTTAATTCACATAGTTTAATCCGCATTGTTTCACTTCTTGTCAATTTGCTGTGCATTATGAATATTAAATGCTCATTTGTGTAATCGGGCAAAAGATAACTCTTTCAAAGTTAAGTTAAATGTTTTAAAGTATCAAAATATCATTCATTAAATTGACTATGACCACTAATCGTCTGGTACCCACGGATAATAGACGTGAAAAAACAAGATCACATCTGACAATGATGGTCAGTACGAGATTGGCTAAAATTAACTTAGCTTCTACTGAGACAAGAAATCGCAACTTTTTCGTATTGTTATGGTCACCGTGGTATTTAGAACAGACTTGGATTTATTTCATATTATTCATAACACAGAATTCGTTTGTTGTAAAAGCATAAAAGTTGACAAAAAATTTTCATAAGATTTGTACATCATTCATAAATAAAATTTAACTATGACTACAACTTTATTATTTTTTTTCTTTCTAGGAGGGGGGGAGGGGGGGGGGGCAAAAGCAGAGAGAATTTAAGGAGAAATAGTCGGGCTTTATTGCATGTGATTAATGATATATATATGTTGAAATAGGGGATTTTTTTATTTTCTTCCTGGATTTTGATATCCATTTCTCACATTTCTCCTACAGATCGAGGTCTCGTGAGAAGGGTATGTCGTTAGAATGCGGTGCCACTGCGCTCGACTCCGGGTGTCGATCACGAGGGAAATTTACAGCCCTAAATCACAGAGATTCCACATTACAGGTGCAATAGGCCCAGTCTGTCGAGGACCTCGGGTTTTATATAAAACCGCACGCCTTGTTTTCAGTATGATGGATTCGTAGAAGGTCGACAGTTTTGTAAGACTCGGGGTCAAGGGAACAGATTTGCCATTCTACTCCTGTGCATTTGTCCGAGAACAGAGGAGATTGTGTTCCCAAAATTTGTGACTGGAAAATAGCTATTATGAGGCATGTCTTCGCCGACCGATAAGTTCGCGTGTAGAAAATGGATGTCAGACTGGTATAATTAATCACCCGATACATGTAACTGCCGACTGGATCAATGAATTAAAACAAAGAAATTTCACCAGTGCTGTAAGAAGATTTAATTCTCCTACATGCGCTTTTTGTGCATTCTGCATAAAAATTTCATAGAAAAATCTATTTCTTTATCAGTTGTTCAAAGAGGAATAAATGGAGAAACAAATGGAATAAACCTAAAAATTAATTTTAAAAATATAATCAGGCCCAAAGACTATTAAATGAGAATAAACTGAAGTAATTTTTTTTAATATAAAGCGTTCATTTAAATTCTAATATTTGTTTGAAGAATTCAATTTTTATATAAATAATAAATATAAAAATATGATAAAAATTGTTTAATTATGAAAATTATTTTCAAGGTTATTGATATTCATTTGAAATATTGACTTTCTTCTGTTTACAGTTTATAGCCTTTAAGACAAGTTTTTTTTAAAATAGTCATATTTTCGACAAATTTTACATGAATTGATATTTTTTTAAGAAAAACTTATTCTTAAAGGGTAAAAAAAAACTATATTCAGGACACTTGGTTACTTTCTTATTCCATCAAAATACTAAAGATTTAAAAACGGCCTTATGACAAAGAGATTTCTACAAATAAATATTTTTTAAGTAAATAATTGCATTATATTAATGTTTTTATACTGAAAAATAAACACTTACCTAAATGGAGGTGAATATAGAAAAACGGACCCTGTCTCCATTTTTCTTCAAAATTTGTGCAGGAAATATTTGAAAATACTTGATAATATAATTAAACGATAGAATTTTAGGCTGTCATTGTTATTGCATCACTATCAATGTCATCACAGTATTTTGCTATCGTTTTCTGTCAAATAAAATGAACTGAGTTTTAAAAATTTACATTTATTACTGTGTAACAAAGAGGGAGCCACGTCGCGCGAGAGTTTCAGTTCAATAGTCATCGACCAATCATAATCGACTTCGCGTCACGTGTTCAACGGTAGCAATATGGTCAATTAACTCAGGATAATGCGTCTGCGATATGTGAAAAATGTAGGGGGCGTTCCCTATTTTAGATTAAACCGATATAAATAGAGGGTTTATTATTTGATTTCTTTAATGCGAAATCGCTTTGTAATTATCCTAACTCGTAAAATAGAAAACTGAAAATTATAGATGCAAATGTGCAGAAAATTGTGTGACAGCATATTACGTTCTTCTCTCGGTTCAGCAAAATAATTTTTCGATGCTCATTTTGTTTTTTATAAAGTTCTCCAATATTTTATGGACTTAATAAAGCAGGGATTTGAATAGAAAATGTTCCTGTTTTTTTAAAAACTGAAATTTCATCTGTTTATGAAATTATACTTAATAAATTTTATCGCATTATGGTGTCAAAATTATTTTCTTAAATTTGAAAATGTTGTTACAAATGGACAGATTTATACAAAATAAAAAAAAAAAAATCAAGATTGCCTTTTCAATCTAAGCTGCTCCAGCAAGTACATGTTTAATAATAAAATAATAAATTTATATATGAATTAGATTTAGCTTTTTATTGACTCTTATTTGTACACTTTTTTGCTATCATTTTGCATGACAATTACTATGTGTTTTTAAGGAGAAGAATTTAAGTTTTCAACTTGTATCATCCTTTTTTGTCAATAAAATATGTTCAAATCAATAATTAATCAATATCATTATTTTGTCTTCATAATTAATAAAATAGATTCTTAAAAAACGATGATGGGTTAAAAACAAATAGAATTATATTTTCCACATATAATCTTTTTTTTTTTAATAAAATATACAGCTTTCTGCTTTGCTTAGGAAACTTTTTTATGTTTACTTCATGAATTAAAAAAAATGTACCAACATTTTTTAATTTGCATGCATATATGCAGTTAGTGACGTTGAAAAATTACAAATAATTTTACATCGAAAATATTGGATGAATTAAAATCTACAGCTTGAACAAATAAAAGTCTTCGTGGCTGAAAGACCGCCTTCAGGTATTTTCCTGAAAAAATGAAGGTAGTGTACCGTAGGTTACAAAAAATTTATATTTTCCAATTTTGTATGTACAGTATCATTTTGATGAGTAAGGATATTCAAAATATATTTATCAAATAAAATGTATAAAATTTAGGTATACATATAATATTCAGAAGACGACACCAACAGATTCGTAAACAAGAAACTTCAAAGGGTACGCAAATGTCTGATTGTGTATGAGTTTCTCTTTTGAACAAGACATCAAATAAAGACAAATTTATAAGAAAGAAAATTTGAGGATTAGCACACATTTACTGTCCCGAAAAATCACAGTCGGTTAATTTCTTAATCGTATATGGACAGTATTTGCGGTATTATGCGCAATAAACATTTAATTCACACGTTTGCGATAGATCTCAGAGACATAAAAATTCACTTCAACGAGGATCGGGATTTAAATTAACTCAATACTATCTTAATCCATTTAAGGTACCTCAATCTGCAATAAAACCACTATGTAGCGCGGGTTTTTACCCTCCGTAGATTTTCTCGAACTAAATTAAACTGCTATGAAACGTTAAAATACTGAAAATAATCGACATTTCTCCCCTCACGGATAACACCTTCCCATTTCTGTATAGGTCTGCTAGTTTTATTGTCCCCCACCCGCAGTTCGGTTTGCTGGTGGGTCTTTGAATCCGTCTGATATAGACGACATCTTAGTTCGCCTTGAGTCCTTTCTTGGACTCTCCTGTGAATTTCAGGCGTCAAGCGTCTACATGAAAAAGATTTATATGTGTTTATTTACTAAAAAAATTAAATGAAGAATAGAAAATGTAATGCGCTATAAAACACGATATTTTATGTCGATCCTGAGGTGTTAAATTTAGAGAATATGATATTGGAGCGACTGCAAAAGAAATAGATGAGAAATAAATAAAAAAAAACCCATTTTATTCTTGTGAGAAAATTAAAGTTTACTGGCACAAAATATTATTACGCTTTGCTCCCGGACAATTTTTTTACTGCATTAATTTTTTACAAGGTTATCAATTACAGCTTTAAAAAATAAAACATAAAAATATTTTTACATATTATTTTCAATAATACACTGTATAATTTGAAACTTAAAGGAACTGATGTACAATAAGTATATGAAATTTCTTCGTTTTTAGATATAACTAAAGACTTTTCGTGACAGATAAGTTTACTTTCTACCGTTCTAACATAGTCATCCAGTTTCGTAAGCGATATCGCGATTCTGGGACCTGCACCTGCCCCGAAAGAAAAAAAGAAACCCCTGTCATTGTCCCCTCTCACGCAGAAATTAATCGACCAAACTTATTCACTTGCATTTATTATTCGATCAGATATTCAATCCTCGAAACGTAGGCCTACTCGCGGACTCGCATTTCGTCGTAGGAACATGTTTGTTTTGTGTAAAAAGCCTTTCAGGAAGAAAGAAACTTTCGCGGGAGAAGAAGATATCTCTATTTGTTGACATTTTAGATAGGTAGAAAGACAGATTTGCACCATAAATCAGGTGATGTGGGTATATGATAAACACAGTGTTGGAGCTACTTAAACAAAATGCTTTATTAATGCAAGTCATGAAGAGAATTGTGACACACATATAAAGTCCACTTTTATGAAATGCAAAATTCTTTCAAAAAATATTTGACAATTTAAAGATTAATAAAAACTTCTTTACCTTTTAGCTTAGTAATTGATACGAAGGAAAAAAAGACTTTTTATGCAGAGGTAAATGAGCAACGATTGACCGTGTTATTTCTATAATTTCTAATTTCTCAACGCATGCACGAAATGCAATTGCGGGATCGTAAATCTGTATTAATTGATTGCGGGAAATACCGCAGCATTTGTAAAACGTGTTAGGCTCTCGATCCCGAAGCTAGATCGAGTATCAGAAATTGGCTCTATCGGTAATTGTCGCGATGCCATTCCTGTCGCTAATGGTTAGGATTTCACACATATGCCAAATGGAAGTCATTCATGATATGCAAAATTTTGTTTATGTATCGTTGGGCGCGTGCATCTCATTGGAACCACGCAGAGCGCCAAATTATAGTTTGTCTTTTTAACCACGTCTCACAGAGTTTGTGTTTTGTTTCGGGTATGCTTTATGAAGCCTTGTTCCTTTGGGTGAAATAAAGGGTTCCGATTTTAGGACAATAGGCTGAATATAGGTATCATATTTGACAATTTGTGTTTTCTAAAGTCCTGGTGTAAAACTAATAATTCTATTGAGAGATCTTTTGTGGACTTTGGAGGGCCAAATGAATTCGCGATGATGTCCAACTTTGGTGCTAAAAATAAATCTGTGAAGAAATTTGATTCAGAGAAAAACACTGCTCATTGACATTGTTTTCCAAATAGCCTCGCCATCCAGTCCTGCTAAATAATTGCACCAGAATAATGTATTTCTTACTTGATATATTACATGTAATTGCATTTTCTTCTAAGAAATATTAATCGAAACTTTGACAATGTTTGAGAAAAGATTCAATTACAAATGTGCAGAGTATACAATAACTTACATACACTTACATAAGTAACAAATGTCTTATTTTAATTACCAATAAACAATCCATGTTACACATTACACGCAAACATTAAATGTTCTCTCTGATCCATATAAACAGTTTTCATCAGTTGTTCACTCAATTTTAATCAAAATTAAAGAGTCATTCCATATAACAAAAACAACAAATTTAAACAGTTACACCATACTGATTTTTAAGACATCCCTTAAATGAGTAAATATTTAATTAACAGATTAAATATTGCATAAAAAGTTAAAAACACTTTAAGATCTTGTATTTATGTATATTTATGACGATTACCTGAATGTAGATGTATCTTGGGAGTTGTAGTTTTGTCTCCGTTATCAAAGTTGCTCTGAGACTCATTTCTCGCATCGGAAAAAAATTGTTACAAATAAGATTTGCAATTCAATAGTACAATGTATATATAGTTAAAGATCTAGATAAAAAAATGTTAGAACATAAAAACAATTCATTGTAAATAGATGATAATACTGAATTATAATAATAAAAAAAAAACTAAAAAAGAATTTTGTTTTCAATTATTTTCAAACCTTTTAAAACTACTTTTTGAGAGAACTATTAGCTTTCTCCAAAATAAAACACATTTGTTATAAAGACTTGAAATTTATGTGGTCTTGTTTTCTCTTTACTTGTATTTTATTTAAAAATTTACAAGAATTTCATGGAAAAAAAGAAAACAGGAGAAACTCCAGTTGTATAGTATATGCAACAATACCGGGTATATTCAAGAAGTGGTATAAATCATGTTTGTACTTAAAAACAACAGGGAATTTTTACAGAATTTGACCAAAATCAATAACATAAAAATATGACTTTTCGACATTATATAACTATTCTGCAGGATATATTAAAAAAAGTGCAGGCTTTTTGACATCATCGACAACTGCTTTTTTAATAAAAGAAGAACTTGCAAATTTACTTACCTTCTCAGCGGACATTTGCAAAATTATCTGTTTAAACATTCTAATTGTTCAACAAGTGCTCTGAAATTTATATTGAAAAGATGTTTGAGATTCTGATCTATGTATAGTTTTTAGAGATCAGGTTTTTCAACGATCTGTCGAAATTTCCCAGGTTTTTTTATCTGTTTTCATATGAAGTAGAATTCATTCAAAATCTTAAACATGATAAAGAGGTAAACATGTTATGTGACTTTCTACTCGATATTTATGTATATCAACGACATATTATTAATTAACAATTTAGTTAGTTTCCTTCATATGTCGACACGATGTATCCAAATGAATTTAAAAATAAAACTATCACAAAATCTGACATAACTGTTTAATGTTTTGATATTTCAATA